TGCTGACTTGGTTCCCTTGTGAAACGTTTCTCTGTCCCTTGATGTGATAGGCCCGTGAAGAATCCGTCTTCAGCGTAGAATAGGTCTTCAGCAACCCATGCTTGCTGCAAAAGGCGACTATGCTTGTTGTACCGGGTGGTCGGGCTGGCTGACTTGGTTGATGCATGTCATCGTATCCCAATTGCGTGGATCGATGCTCATGATGTCAATCACTGGATTGTCAGGTTCAGACTCGATTATTCACAGACCGCCGTCATATAGCTCGAATAATGCTGAGTAAGGCGTTAAACAACAAATAAACTCATTCAGTAATGCAATGTTAGCTGTGGAGATGAATATCTTTAAAATACTCTTAATGTACGTTTTGTTTACCTTTATATATCATATAGGCGATTCCAAATATTAGGTAGATTGTCCTTGTGTTTAAGAAACAGTACAGATTTGAATATGTCTAATTACCAGACGCAATTCAAATGTTTCAAACAACATTTCGATTCATGTCCATGCCTCGCCATTGTAAGACTATTTGCCATGGGCATTTTGTGAGCCCTAACAACTGCACTGAATAGTCGTGCAACAGCACAGTATAATTAACCAACTCAGCAGAATAATAATTGGTCAGCTGACGTACTTATATAAGCAGCCTAATTGCTGACATAGCAAATGTCAAGTACTTATATAAACAGCATAACTGCTGACATAGCGACTCTCAAGTTAATCAGAACTGACTAGTTCAGCAGAATAATGATCGGTCAGCTGCCTTTAAAAGCAGGCAGGTTGTGTTAACAAACAATCGGAGAAGCGCAGTCATTATAGCAGAGAGGAAAACCAGGGACAAGGAGAGACGAGCACTGACCAGCCAGCCCAGCCCTCAGCTGCCAAAGTGTCAACGTGACTTCGTCGTCTTCCTATGTTCGACTTTGTAACTACTGATAGACTGGTTCTGTAGTTCTACTGTGTTTATAAACAAACCATTCTCCGCCACCACCACGGCTTGTCGTTCTAAGTGCACGGAGGTGTTGCAAGGGATCCGTTTTGGTGCCGAGACCAGGATCAAGATTCCCCTCCCAGAGACCTGTGAAGATCCGGGGTAGAATAGGTCTTCAACAACCCATGATTGCCGTAAAAGGCGACTATGCTTGTCGTAAAAGGCGACTAACGGGATCGGGTGGTCAGGCTCGCTGACTTGGTTGATGCATGTCATCGATCCCAACTGCGTGGATCGATGTTCATGATGTCAATCACTGGATTATCTGGTCCAGACTCGATTATTTACAGACCGGCGTCATATAGCTGGAATATTGCTGAGTGCGGCGTAAAACAACAAACCAACCAACCCTCCCAGAGAAGAACAGGACACGCCTAAGGTAGAAATTGGAGCCAGACCAGCTCAGGACTAGTGACGATGACATGTCTACTGACGGACAGACAGACGCTCAGGAGGAACAGTCAACCCCATATGACATTGAAGGGGACAGACAAACATGTCTACCAATGTTACTTTTCTTATTTGGGTTAGCCAGAGGTGATATGCTGTTTGAAAATGTTGTTTTTCGAAAGCTTAATGAAATCACAATAACCAGGTCTAAGTGGTTGGTCTCGTTTGTCACAGACTTTGCACCTCTCAGGCAGTTTATATCCAGATGCGAAAATGACATAGAACAAGTCAAGTTGACTGTTCGACAATTGCTGACTCGGACAGGTCAACAGGCATGATCAGTATGTTTAGCCGAGTTTAGCCGATTGCATACCAGTAAGTGAGTATGGTTTTACGCCGCTTTTAAGCAATATTCCAGCAGTATCACGGCGGGGGACACCAGAAATGGGCTTCACACATTGTACCCATGTCGGAAATCGAACCCGGGTCTTCGGCGTGACGAGCCAACTCTTTATCCACTAGGCTACCCGACCGCCGCAGTAATCAAGGAAATGTGACAAATGTTACAAACCTTGATTTAATTCATGGAACACCTCAAGTTACAACTGAATATGCTGGCACTGTGACATTTATCCCCGAGTACCATGACCCCTAGCCATTTACTGGCCCTTCTGAATGATGCAAAAACCCAATTTCCTGCAAAGTTTAAGTTAGCTGGCATGCCAGAGGAAGATTTAGGGAACTTCTATAAAACATTGACGTGTACCACGGTATTAGATGATGATAAAAGTGTGATAATTACATCGATCCCCTTGTTAGATGTCAATGGGAGATTTGAAATTTATCAAGCTTTTAACTTACCCATGCCATGATGACAAACGCACTGCCCGACAAGTCTGAAGAAATGAGCCGTATGGTCGCTAAGTATCGCGTGGAAAACCACGTGTTAACTGTAAATGCAGAACGTACTAAGTATGCATTATTAAAGAATTCGGAGGTCGAAACATGCACCCAGCCTTAAACAGGCTACTGTCATATCCAAAGTCCTATATACCCCACCAACTTAAGTCAACTTTGCATAGTGGCTCTGTTTATGAAAAAGGAAGACAGAGTCAAGCAGACATGTCAAACAGAAGAAACGCCTCATGCTATTGCCGATGGCAGAGTATTTAACAGATAGCCTGTTACGACGTAAATTGTAATAAAAAGGTAAATTGTAAAACTTGCAGCAAATTGTAATAATTTTGACGTAAATTGTAATAACAACGTAAATTGTAATAATATTTGACGTAAATTGTCATACGCAAGTTGTAATAAAAATTGACGTAAATTGTAATAATCTCTACTTGCGGTAAAATGTAATAAATTCTTACGTAAATTGTAATAACCTTACTACCGTAGTGTCCAAGAAGCCAATTGACTAGAAATGATCTTTGTCAGTTGAGCTTGTGTTTCACATGTACAATTCTAGAAATACTGTGTATGATGACAAACGTACAAAACTGTTAAGTTAGGGATGCTTGGTATAGGCTTTATCGTACAATCGTCATTAAAGGGTGGTGTCAACATAGTGAAAGACATTTATTGGAAGTGATGTGATGCTTCTGGCATGCTATCATCTACGTAGAAGATACTACCATCTGCTTAGAAAATACTATCAAGATACCGGATATTTTTTGTGTATGCTTTGAATTATGATTTCGTGCCGTTATCATGAGGGATTCTGTTTTTGTTGTTGGGGCAAGGGGGAGTGAGTGAGTGAGTGAGTATGGTTTTACGCCGCTTTTAGCAATATTCCAGCAATATCACGGCGGGGGACACCAGAAATGGGCTTCACACATTGTACCCATGTCGGGAATCAAACCTGGGTCTTCGGCGTGACGAGCGAACGCTTTAACCACTAGGCTACCCGACCGCCCCGTTGGGGCAAGGAGTTATTATCCCAGCAATAGTTGTCAGTAAGTTGTTGTTAGTTCTTCATGACATATGAAAGGAATCCAGACAGTTAAATTTATTCATTTATTTCATTAAATATACTTCTTGTTATGAAAGGAAATATTTTATGTTATATTAATTATCCATATGTTAATCATACATTGCTACAAATATTGCATAAGTTAACATGGTTTGCATTAATATATTATTATTTCTTTATCTGTGAGAAGTTCACAGAGATCGAGAATACGCAATATCTAATAGTATATGCAATGTAGGTAAAGAATATCCACGCCCCTCTTTTGATATTAATAAAAACGTTGTATATAATGTTATGTATTAAGTATTCTCCTTTCCCATGCATGGGAAATCTATGCTGCATTTGCTGACGACTGGGTTTTTTCATTTGACATTGCACAGGAGATCTGTCACTCATTTGATGTATTTGAATTCTTCGTCAAAATATAACAGACTTTTTCTCAAATAAATAAGAAAACTAAGTTCATTCTGGTAATTAATCCTCTTCTGGACAACCATAGAAATGAAATTCCAATGCGTTTATATATACATATAATTATACAACAATGCACGATAACGACCTCAATCCTCCCCCACACCCATACTTTAATGACGATTGTACGATAAACCCTGTACCAACCCTGACAAGGATAGGTTCTAGTCATTTAATGCCTTTGACACTAAACTTATAAGGTTATTACAATTTACGTAAAAAGTTATTACATTTTACAGCAAGTTGAGATTATTCAAATTTTATTTTTATTTTTATTACAATTTGCGTATTACAATTTACGTCTCATTTTATTACAATTTACGTTGTTATAACAATTTACGTCAAAATTATTACAATTTGCTGCAAGTATTACAATTTACCTTTTTATTACAATTCACGTCGTAACATAGCCGCTGGGTAGTTACTACTGATAAGAGATTAGACTTTGCAGTCGTGTGGGCCACCCGTGCCCCCTCCCCACCTTTAGGGACAATCAGGCTAAACGCGTCATGTTCTGCCTCAAACAGTCATTTATCTTTACCTCCATATTACCATAATGAAACTAAATACGAGTTCGAGAACAGTTTCCTTCAATTAGCTCGTAGCCCAAATGTTTCAAACATGTCACTATGGAAACTATTCCTCCAGGCTGGGCGAGAACTGGGTGTAATGAAACTACCCCCAATATTCAAACAAATAGAACGCATTCCCATGGGGCATCTGATCGAACAGTTATCTGATCTATTATGACACATTTAATTGGAAGTACTTAGTTGGATTAATTGTTCTTATTATAGTAGCGATACCGTCTTCATTCATTGTCTCTTTACGCGATATGCATCGTGAGTCATGTGCAGTGTAGACCCGTGAAGATCCGGGGTAGAATAGGGCTTCAGCAACCCATGCTTGCCGTAAAAGGCGACTATGCTTGTCGTAAAAGGCTCAAGTTGTTTTACAGTCCATTGTTGACATGGGTCTTTTTAATCTAAATGTCTCAATTGTTAATGTATAAATTGTTCGTGACATTTTATGGCTGCAACAGTGCCGATGTGATTTTACATTTTAACTCACTCACTCACTCACTCACTCACTCACTCACTCGCATATAACTGAATAATTGCTCACGTGATATACAAATAAATTCACATACGCTCTCCTTATATAAATTAAGATCACCTGCATAATACTGCCAGCCCGGCTCTTCAGTGCCTCCTGTGTTGATGAAGGACTTGTACAGGCGACATCGTTTGGACGTTGGGTTGTACAGCAGCATGTTACAGAGGGGGTGTCGGTAACAACGTTCTGTACATGATAATCTTCCTTCCACGACGTGTTCAGACATAAAGGCCTCATTAAACAACAGATTGTCCAAACTTGAGTGACGTCGAACATGAAACCCGCCACAAGACTGAAGGGCAGATATCAGTTTATGGAATACAAGCGTCAGGAGAAAGATGTCCCGTTTGAACATAGTGATTCCTCAACACTTCAACACTGGGATCTACATGTACGTAACTGCGAGGTTGACTCGTCTGTTCAAAAGACGTGTTGTCAGTTCTGACTCTGTCCCAGATCAATAAACATTATACATTTAACAGGACTCCTATCCGGGAGCACGGTGTTCGAATCAACATTCAACTCTTATTGATTCATAAGTTAAACATGCGTCTTTGTGAGACGTCCGTGCACGTAGGACGCCAAGCCGTGGTGGCGGAGAACTGTTTATTTATCAACACAGTAGAACTACAGAAACGGGCGATACATGATTCCACATACTTCCGTTATACATCAAGTGTAACAAATCATAATTACATTATTGATCGTCTAGAAGAATCAATCGATTCAACAGTAAACCCATCCTCACAAACAATAAAACTACAGTCATGATACTACAGGTGAGTACTAATACTATTGTCAATTTTTCAGGGATGTATATAGAATTATCATGCTTATGCAATACTATCTTCGTAGTGTTGATGAATATTCAGATGCACCATATTAACTAACTGTGTCCATGTGCATCATACGGAAGGCTTTTAGGGCCATTTGTTTTTTTAATTTTTTTCGATACTATCTTGAAATTTCAAGATACTAAGTTGAAATTTCAAGATACTAAGTTGAAATTTCAAGAGATAGAAGTTGAAATTTAAAGATACTAAGTTGAAATGGTATCTTCAAAGTTTAACTTAGTATTGAAAAAAACCAAATGGCCCTAAAAGTCTTATGTAGGATCTTGATATCTCAAAATTATTCACTTCAAACGTACTTTTACATCTTAGGATGTTAACTTATTATCTTGAAATTTCAAGAGCCTGACTACCCGATCCCGTTAGTCGCCTTTTACGACAAGCATAGTCGCCTTTTACGGCAATCATGGGTTGCTGAAGCCCTATTCTACCCCGGATCTTCACGGGTCTACACTGCACATGACTCACGATGCATATCGCGTAAAGAGACAATGAATGAAGACGGTATCGTTACTATAATAAGAACAATTAATCCAACTAAGTACTTCCAATTAAATGTCTCATACTAGATCAGATAACTGTTCGACCAGATGCCCCATGGGAATGCGTTCTATTTGTTTCAATTTTGGGGGTAGTTTCATTACACCCCGTTCTCGCCCAGCCTGGAGGAATGGTTTCCATAGTAACATGGTTGAAACATTTGGGCTACGAGCCAATTGAAGGAAACCGTCCTCGAACTCGTATTCAGTTTCATTATGGTAATACGGAGGTAAACATAAATGACTGTTTGAGGCAGAACATGACGCGTTTAGCCTGATTGTCCCTAAAGGTGGGGAGGGGGCACGGGTGGCCCAGTTGTCTAAGGCGACGCGATTTGCTGTGCAGAGTTGCGTACCTTGGGCACGCCAGAAACCTATGATTGTGGGTTCGAATCCCGGTTCGCCCCGATTATGTTTCTAGGTTTGTCAGCACCATACCCGTGCTCGTGGGTTTCACCGAAGTGGTAAACGTCTGAGACCTGCATCACTTCGGGCTTTCCTCCCACATTAAGCTGACACGCCGTGATATAACTGGAATACTGTTAAAAGCGGTGTTAAAGCCAACTCACTCACTCACTCACCCCTAAAGGTGGGGAAAACCGTTATGGTTTGAGAATATCTGTCGCCCTCTCCCCACACGACTGCAAAGTCTAATCTCTTATCAGTATTAACTATCCAGCGGCTATCTGTTAAATACTCTGCCATCGGCAATAAAGCATTAGGCGTTACTTCTGTTTGACATGTCTGCTTGACTCTATCTTCCTTTTTCATAAACAGAGCCACTATGCAAAGTTGACTTAACTTGGTGGGGTATATAGGACTTTGGATATGACAGTAGCCTGTTTAAGGCTGGGTGCATGTTTCGACCTCCGAATTCTTTAATAATGCACACTTAGTACGTTCTGCATTTACAGTTAACACGTGGTTTTCCACGCTATACTTAGTGACCATACGGCTCATTTCTTCAGACTTGTCGGGCAGTGCGTTTGTCATCATGGCATAGGTAAGTTAAAAGCTTGATAAATTTCAAATCTCCCATTGATATCTAACAAGGGGATCGATTTAATTATCACACTTTTATCATCATCTAATACCGTGGTACACGTCAATGTTTTAAAGAAGTTCCCTAAACTTCCTCTGGCATGCCAGCTAACTTAAACTTTGCAGGAAATTGGGTTTTTGCATCATTCAGAAGGGCCAGTAAATGGCTAGGGGTCATGGTACTCGGGGATAAATGTCACAGTGCCAGCATATTCAGTTGTAACTTGAGGTGTTCCATAAATTAAATCAAGGTTTGTAACATTTGTCACATTTCCTGCAGCGGTCGGGTAGCCTAGTGGATAAAGCGTTGGCTCGTCACGCCGAAGACCCGGGATCGATTTCCGACATGGGTACAATGTGTTAAGCCCATTTCTGGGGTCCCCCGCCGTGGTATTGCTGGAATATTGCTAAAAGCGGCGTAAAACCATACTCACTCACTCACTCACCCACTCACTCACTCACTCACTCACTCACTCCTCGATTACTAATTCAATTTGTAAATATGTTTTGGTTGCCCATTCTAATTCCAAGATTCGTTTCTCCACTTCTTTTGTAACATTAGAAATCTTTCCCTCAATTATACCCAGGTTGTCAATGACTTCATGAATGGCATGCCTGTTTTCTGAGATTCGTGCTCTGGATGTGTTTGGAATCGAAAATTCTTCCTTTACTATTGGGGCTAATCCTATCTGGATGTCTGCTATTTTTTAATATTCCGTTTAATTGTATTCAGATAAGCATCAGATACTACAAAAAACAGGAAACTTAGTGCCTTCCTGACAAACGGTAACAATGATCGCTTCTGCCTGGTATGCAATCGGGGGCGGTCGGGTAGCCTAGTGGTTAAAGCGTTCGCTCGTCACGCCGAAGACCCGGGTTCGATTCCCGACATGTGTCAATGTGGGAAGCCCATTCCTGATGTCCCCTGCCGTGATAATGCTGGAATATTGCTTAAAACCATACTCACTTACTGGTATGCAATCGGCTAAACTCGGCTAAACATACTGATCATGCCTGTTGACCTGTCCGAGTCAGCAATTGTCGAACAGTCAACTTGACTTGTTCTATGTCATTTTCGCATCTGGATATAAACTGCCTGAGAGGTGCAAAGTCTGTGACAAACGTGACCAACCACTTAGACCTGGTTATTGTGATTTCATTAAGCTTTCGAAAAACAACATTTTCAAACAGCATATCACCTCTGGCTAACCCAAAAAAGAAAAGTAACATTGGTAGACATGTTTGTCTGTCCCCTTCAATGTCATATGGGGTTGACTGTTCCTCCTGAGCGTCTGTCTGTCCGTCAGTAGACATGTCATCGTCACTAGTCCTGAGCTGGTCTGGCTCCAATTTCTACCTTAGGCGTGTCCTGTTCTTCTCTGGGAGGGTTGGTTGGTTTGTTGTTTTACGCCGCACTCAGCAATATTCCAGCTATATGACGCCGGTCTGTAAATAATCGAGTCTGGACCAGATAATCCAGTGATTGACATCATGAACATCGATCCACGCAGTTGGGATCGATGACATGCATCAACCAAGTCAGCGAGGCCGTTAGTCGCCTTTTACGACAAGCATAGTCGCCTTTTACGGCACTCATGGGTTGTTGAAGACCTATTCTACCCCGGATCTTCACAGGTCTCTGGGAGGGGAATCTTGATCCTGGTCTCGGCACCAAAACGGATCCCTTGCAACACCTCCGTGCACTTAGAACGACAAGGCGTGGTGGTGGCGGAGAATGGTTTGTTTATTAACACAGTAGAACTACAGAACCAGTCGATCAATAGTTACACAGTCGAACATAGGATGACGACGAAGTCACGTTGACACTTTGGAAGCTGAGGGCTGGGCTGGCTGGACAGTGCTCGTCTCTCCTTGTCCCTGGTTTTCCTCTCTGCTATTGTGACTGCGCTTCTCCGATTGTTTGTTAACACAACCTGCCTGCTTTTAAAGGCAGCTGACCGATCATTATTCTGCTGAGCTAGTCAGTTCTGATTAACTTGAGAGTCGCTATGTCAGTAGTTATGCTGTTTATATAAGTACTTGACATTTGCTATGTCAGCAATTAGGCTGCTTATATAAGTACGTCAGCTGACCAATTATTATTCTGCTGAGTTGGTTAATTATACTGTGCAGTTGCACGACTCTTCAGCGCAGTTGTTAGGGCTCACAAAATGCCCATGGCAAATAGTCTTACAATGGCGAGGCATGGACATGAATCGAAATGTTGTTTGAAACATTTAAATTGCGTCTGGTAATTAGACATATTCAAATCTGTACTGTTTCTTAAACAAAAGGACCATCTACCTTATCTTTGGAATAATATCGCCGATATCATTATAAAAGTTAAACAAAACGTACATTAAGAGTATGTTCATCTCCATAACAAACATTGCATTACTGAATTAGTTTATTTGTTGTTTTACGCCGCACTCAGCAAAATTCCAGTTATATGACGGGGGTCTTTAACTAATCGAGTCTGGACCAGACAACCCAGTGATTGACATCATGAGCATCGATCCACGCAATTGGGAAACGATGACATGCATCAACCAACACAGCGAGCATGACCACCCGATCCCGTTAGTCGCCTTTTACGTTGCTGACGACCTATTCTTCCCCGGATCTTCACGGGTTTACACTGCACATGACTCACGATGCATATCGCGTAAAGAGACAATGATTGAAGACTGAATGAAGGTATAATATCTTCAATGAGGTAATTCGCAAATCTTTTTCATGTATTTCTGAAAATGATCTGCTATTTTAGTTTGAAATTACAATACTGATTATTACATTCTAAAGTTACATTTACATCTTCTTACATCTTCTTACACTTGTCTGAAGCAAAGAAATATCGCATACGACACTATAAACTTATTAATTTCTTGTTCAAATGTACAAAGAAACAGGGTATTATCAACCAATTGCGTGGATCGATGTTCATGATCGATTATCTACAGACTGCCGTCATATAGCTTGAATATTGCTGAGTGCGGCGTTAAACAACAAACCAACAAACCAACATTATCGTAAGAGGCGACTAACTTAGGACTTAGGTTCTATAGGTTAGAGTTCGTTTCCGAAGCATAACTCAAAACCCATTCAATACTTTTTAACAAAACTA